TCTTGTATCATAGTAGTAAGAAAATGAGGTATGTTAAAAATTGGCGGTTTAGTTGTAATACCAATTGGTAAGAGATGATTATCATACATATCATCATTTCTCTACCATTCTTCGAGATTAGCCATAACATTTGCCTCAAACTTTCTACTTTGTAATTCATCTATGAAAAAAAAAATATTTGGACCTTTTGTCCTACCAGTTTTTTTTCGTTAGCCCGATCTTTGCTTGGTCTTGCAACCAACTTTACTTCTCATAGTCAACTTCTTTCTCCATATGCATTCAATAATTTAAAGTTATTCACCTTGTGATGTGAGACAAAAATCTCTTTCTTGAAGAGATGTTAAGAATTGTTTCAATTTTATTTGGAGTAAAAAACGCATGTAACTAAAACTTGATGTAACCATTTTAGAAAAATATTAAACATTAAACATTAAACATTAAACAATTTGAATCAATCAGAAAAACTAAAGAACAAAATATAAGAGCTAATATGAGTCTAAGATGTAAGTAAGAGTATATAAACAGTTTAATTCAAATTTCTTGAACATTTTAAACAATTTAATTTATACTTTCTATAACCATTTTCCAATTATAATTAAAATAGACTAAATTAACTTTCATGTATTAAAAATTTGTAGGCTATATAAACAGTTTAAGTCAAATTTTTTGAAATATTTTGTTAAACTATCTAATTTGCACTTTATATAAAATTTTAAAATTATATTTCAAAATAAAATCAAAATAAATGTTCAACAACTCAAAATTAATAATTATTAGTATGGGGGTTACAAATTTAAAAATAAAATCAAAATAAATGCTCAACAACTCAAAATTAATAGTTATTAGTATGGGGGTTACAAATCTGAAAATACATAAAATAATTTTACTATAAATTACTATTATAAGAAATTCATTTTCCACAATATTGGTTTCAAATAAGATTATTGGTTTTATTGTAGTAAATCAATATGAATAAATAAACACTTTGATAATAATTAAGATTAGAAATAAATATTGGTGTCTTATATGAATTTTATTCTCTACATTATATTGGTATTAAAAAGTATGGTGGAAAAGAATCAAAACTTATAATATTGAAGAGTAAAGTAATGGAGAGATATTTATTGATTTAAATTTAAAAAAATTAGTTATGGTATATTAATGTGGATAATTAAGAGATAGAAAATATGACATATGTCAAGCATTTGAAGTGCCAAATATCAAAAATTTATTTATTTGAAGTGCCTTTATCTAAAATAAATTCCTCTGAAGCATCGTCTTTATTTATTGTTTATCTCTATTTTCTCGTCTTGCTATATATCAACCAAGTTGTTGATCTGAAATTGGAACTATTTTAGTACGGTTCTTGTCTGATTCTTTTGCTTTTATGTATCTCTTCAAGTCACATATCTCATTTATATTGCAAATCATATCGTTTCTTTAATTCTCGCTTTCTTGCCTTCTCTATCGTCTCTAAGATTTCTTTCTTTTTTGTTTGTTATGGATCAACTTGATTTTAGGTAACCAATGGAGGGTTTTTGATATGAAAATATTGTAGTAGAGGATGTTCAAGTTCATGTCCCAAAAAGCACATGATATGGTTCTAGCGGCGAACATGGTTTAAAGAAAAAACATATTGCGCAGAAAATTGAGATTGCAACTAACGGAGCATATTACTTAATGGACGACAACAAGAAAATGGTTGCGGTGTTCAAACCGGTAGATAAAGAAATCCATGAAGAGCATTATGGTTGGATAAAAGGAGATAATGCCATACGAGAACTTGCTGCATACCTCTTGGAACTCCCTAAAAAGGAGCAGAAGATGGATTCGGAGGCATCTCTCGAAAACCATGATACACTATTTGCAATTCAAAGATAAATGAGAAACTCAGTGGACAAGAGGATCATTGCAAAAATACATTCCGAATGAACCATGGCTCAATCTTGGTCACAAAATTTTCAGTATAGAATATTTTCAATAAATAACGTTGATTCACATTCGATACGGAAACATGGGAGTAGACAAGTTTAATATCTTGTTGAGCAAGGACCTTGATCCCGATTGATCATGGAGTGTGGTTTCCGACATCGGTAATTTGATTTATTTATGTTTTGATGAGCTTTTGTTTTCAATAAGTTGATTAGAGAATCTAATTCATATTTTCAACTCTTTTCTTTTTAGTTTCGTCATTATAGGTATGATTGGGCCTCATGGGAAAAAGCAATATTTCGCATACTTGCCCAAGATGGTCTGGTATGTGGAGACTTTTATGTAGAAAATGATTTGGTGATTCTTAGAGCCAACGATATACATTTGGGAGAGGATGCTCTCTTCGTCTTCAAAGTCTAGCATTTGATGTTGATAGGAGTTTTAGGGACATGTTCCTTGAGATATCGCAAAACTAATGACATATAATCTTTCCTTAATTGTTGACTCGTGCAAAGGTTTTCAGACCATCGGAGGCGAAAAACATCTCATGGAGAACATCAGAGGGAATATAAAACAATACTTGGAGTTTGCTAGAGATTAAGTGTTCGTGATATATGAGATTATCTATATATAATTAGTTAATCTGATATTATTTTTTTCTTTAATTTTTCTTTTTGCAAGGCTAGACTTGAATCTGAAAGTTTGAATTCTAAGGTGCAGCCACCTATACAAAAATCGGAGCCACAACCATCAAAACCAATTTCAAGATTCAAGGCATATAGAAGGTAGCCCGTCAAGATGACTGCTATGTACCAATATATAAATTTAACTTGATGTTTTTTTTCCTAGGGTTGGGCGTGAGTGAAAACCACCATAAATCTTATTATGATGTTTTAATTTGAAATGTGCAAATTACATAGTTAATGTAGCTAATCAATTATATGTGAGTGCACCATATGTTATAAATGGTGTGATTAGTCACATAAGTAAGAAAGTTAATGCTAATAAGTTAATAAAACAACAACTGAAACCAATTTAATGATATTAATTGAAAAAAACGTTTAGGCACATTCAAACAAAAACATCACTACATTGGAATATAAAAGTTAGAGAAGAAGTTATTTTATTTTTTCATTAAATTTGTTAACTTTTGCAAGAAGGGAAAATATTTAAAAATGAATTGTCAAGTAACTCAATAAGAAGAAAATGAACATTTTAAAGTATTTAATTTATACTTCTTTTTTTGTCAACCACACATTAATTAATAAATAAAAAAGACTAAATTAACTTTCATGTATTAAAAATTTGTAGGCTCTATAAACAGTTTAAGTCAAATTTCTTGAACATTTTAAACAATTTAATTTATACTTTCTATAACCATTTTCCAATTATAATTAAAATAGACCAAATTAACTTTCATGTATTAAAAATTGGTAGGCTATATAAACAGTTTAAGTCAAATGTTTTGAAATATTTTGTTAAACTATCTAATTTGCACTTTATATAAAATTTTAAAATTATATTTCAAAATAAAATCAAAATAAATGTTCAACAACTCAAAATTAATAATTATTAGTATGGGAGTTACAAATTTAAAAATAAAATCAAAATAAATGCTCAACAACTCAAAATTAATAGTTATTAGTATGGGGGTTACAAATCTGAAAATACATAAAATAATTTTATTATAAATTACTATTATAAGAAATTCATTTTCCACAATATTGGTGTCAAATAAGATTATTGGTTTTATTGTGGTAAATCAATATGAATAAATAAACACTTTGATAATAATTAAGATTAGAAATAAATATTGGTGTCTTAAATGAATTTTATTCTCTACATTATATTGGTATTAAAAAGTATGGTGGAAAAGAATAAAACTTATAATATTGAAGAGTAAAGTAATGGAGAGATATTTATTGATTTAAATTAAAAAATTAGTTATGCTATATTAATGTGGATAATTAAGAGATAAAAAAAATATGACATATGTCAAGCATTTGAAGTGGCAAATGTCAAAAATTTAGAGCAAGTTTAGAGGAAACCTTGTCATATTATATAAGATACACGGAAAATTAGAGTAACTAGCTATTTTCAAATTTTTGCTGGGCTAGTACTTTGGACATAGTATTAAGAAACCCAAATCTAAAGCCTGAGTGTTTGCCATTGCTTGCGATAGAGTAGAAGAAATCGTTCACACATATTAAAGTAATGGTTGAGAAAAGTTATTTACCTACTTGTTACACCACCTGCCGAACTACAAACGTGTTAATAAAATTTTTTCCTACCAATTATTTCTCCATAACTTTCTTTCGGATTTCCTATGTGATTTCCTACGAAGGTCTGTTCGTAGGAAATTGGAAGGAAATATATCTTCGAATTGCCTACCTATTATTTCTTATGGCTTTCCTTCCACTTTCTTACAAAATTTTCTACGATATTTTTTCGTAGGATTTTCGTAGGAAATTTCCTACGAACTTCTGACGATTGTCGTAGGAAATTTTATTCGAATTTTCTACGAAATATTTCGTAACAAATGCGTAGAAGTTTAGTAAGAAATGGTTCCTACCAAATATTTGGTAAAAAATTAGGTAGGAAAAGCCTATGTTTTTTTTTAGTGTGAGTGTTTACCATTGCTTGTGATAAAGTAGAAGAAATCGTTCACACATAGTTACTAAAGTAATGGTTGAGAAGAATTTTAGAGATGACGATAAAAAATCAAATAGGCTAACAAAATGTAATGAAATCAGAACATGGAAACTCTTTTCTGTAAAAAATAAAGCGACTAAACAAATCTAATTTAATTTGCGTAGAAATGCAAAATCAATTGCTAAAACTATGCATATACAACTAATCCGTTAAAACAATTGAATAAAATCAAAGAATCTAATGATGATATCGTTTTTACCTTATAGTGATATGATAATCCTCATTTAAATCACTATATTAGTTCTTTTTTCTAGTGGAGATCCCTTAATTACACACGAAAACTCCTCGATCGTCTTTGCCGATTGAAGTGGTACAGAATCCTATATATATGACTACCTTCTTGCAAGTTCTCCACCACCACCACATCTCTCTCTCTATCTATCTATCTATGGAAGCAGTAGGAAACTTTGATCTCGAAAGCTCCACCAATTTTACAAAATTGCCATCCTCTCAATGGGGTGATCAGTTCCTCAAATTTTCCATCGCTGATTCGGTGAGTCCATTTATATCTTTCCGACTATAACAATGCTCATGTGTGTGTGTGTATTTCTTTATATGGCTATATAAAGATATTTGACTTGTATCAACTTCCAGGATTTTGATGTCCTTGAAAGGGAGATTGAAGTACTAAAGCCTAAAGTAAGAAAGAACATATTCATGTCGTCTTCCAGAGACAAAGACGCAATGAAAAGGACAATTCTTTCTATTCATTTACTGGACAGTCTTGGTCTCTCTTATCATTTTGAGAAAGAAATCGAAGAGAGCCTCAAACATGCTTTCGAGAAGATAGAAGATTTGATCGCTGATGAAAATGAATTGTACACAATCTCCACCATCTTTCGAGTTTTCAGAACATACGGTTACTACATGTCTTCGGGTAAGAACTTTTGAAACATAAATATTTTATTACATGTCCAAGTGAGTACTATTGTTGTCCGGTAAGTAATCTTTTATATGAGTTCCCATAATTTTATTTCAGATGTGTGCGTAATTAATATATTGAATTTTGAAATTTTATTTCCATGTAGATGTTTTCAACAAATTCAAAGGAGACGATGGTAAATTCAAGGAAATTTTAATAGAAGATGTCAAGGGTATGCTAAGCTTCTACGAAGCAGTGCATTTTGGGACAACGACTGATCATATATTGGATGAAGCTTTGAGCTTCACATTGAACCACTTGGAGTCACTAGCTACAGGTCGTAGAGCGTGCCCACCACATATTTCAAAGCTAATTCAAAATGCTCTTCACATACCTCAGCACCGGAACATCCAAGCTCTGGTTGCAAGGCAGTATATCTCGTTCTACGAACACGAAGAGGATCGCGACGACACACTTCTCAAGCTAGCCAAGCTCAATTTCAAGTTCTTGCAGCTTCATTACTTCCAAGAATTAAAAACCATCACAATGTATATGGGAATGATCTAGTTTTCTTAAAGATAGCTAGTGTTCTTTTTTGCCGCATATTTTAAATCTTTTACATATTTTGGTAGGTGGTGGAGGGAATTAGACCATACATCAAACTTTCCACCTAACTTCAGAGAGAGAACTGTAGAGACTTGGTTTTCAGCATTGATGATGTACTTTGAGCCACAGTTTTCACTTGGGAGAATTATGTCGGCTAAGTTATACTTAGTAATTACATTTCTAGACGACGCTTGTGATAAACATGGTTCAATTTCTGATGTTGAGAGCCTGGTCGATTGTCTGGAAAGGTACCTTATTAACTATATATATTGCAATGGTACCCGGATTGAATCACAACAAACAATTAATTATGAGTGGAGTATTCGATAACCAATGTTTTTTTATATATGAACAGATGGGATCCGGATTACATGGAAAATCTTCAAGGTCACATGAAGACTGCCTTCAAATTTGTGATGTATCTTTTTAAAGAGTATGAAGAAATATTGAGGTCACAAGGAAGATCCTTTGTGTTGGAGAAGATGATAGAAGAGGTGATTACTTACAAATCTTTATTATTCATTGGATGGTAATAACTTGTAACATGTTTAATTTTTTTGGTAAGCAGTTCAAGATAATTGCTAGGAAAAACCTCGAACTTGTCAAATGGGCACGGGGAGGTCATGTGCCTAGCTTTGATGAGTATTTAGAGTCTGGTGGAGCCGAGATTGGTACATATGCCACCATAGCATGTTCCATCATGGGACTTGGAGAGATTGGTAAGAAGGAAGCTTTTGAGTGGCTAATATCTAGACCAAAGCTCGTTCGGACTTTAGGTGCAAAGACCCGTCTCATGGATGACATAGCCGACTTTGAGGTATATTACATAAAAGAAGACTATACCAGTTAGACCACGAAATTTCAAACAATGTGGCCCATAAATTTATAAAATATATGGACTTTGTTTTAGTCAATTTCATAGTTCTCTTCGCATAGTTTATTTGTGTTGAAAGTTTTGGTATATATCATCAGGAGGATATGGAAAAAGGTTATACTGCAAATGCTGTCAACTATTACATGAACGAAAACGGAGTTACGAAAGAAGAAGCCAATAGAGAACTTGAAAAGATGAATGGAGATATGAACAAGATTGTAAACGAAGAGTGCTTGAAGATAACTACCATGCCACACCGAATTCTTATGCAATCCGTCAATTATGGACGTTCATTGGATGTTCTCTATACCGCGGATGATGTCTACAACCACCGCGAAGGAAAACTCAAGGAATATATGAGCCTTTTGCTCGTAGATCCCATACTTCTTTAAAGAGAGCTTGGGATGCATTATGTTTGTTACTTTTGGTTTTCAATCTCCAGTAAGAAAATCGTGTTATGTGATTTGCGGTTCAATTTGATCATAAGGGTTGTGTGATTGATCATATATTATCCCTAAAATAAAATGTTGACGTGTTTGATTTTCATATATGAATCTTTTTCTCTCTCGTAATAATCAATGTTGAATTAGAATGGTCAAGTCTATTTAATTATTCACATAACAGATCATAACTTACTCACTGGTTTAGTTGATTTACCTAAGTTACTTCGGTCTAATTAGGACGACATGAAGAAAGGATATACTGCAATCAACTATTACATGAAACAACATGGAATTACCAAAGAAGAAGCCAATAAAGAATTTAAGAAGATGTGGAAATATCAACAAGATAGTAAACGAAGAGTACTTCAAAATGACCAACATTTCTCGTCCAATTCTTAACCAGTTCCTCGGTTTTGGACGCTTGTTGGACGTTCTCTATACAGCAGACGATCTCTTCAACCATCCCGATGGAAAATTCAAGGATGATATCTTTACTTTTCTCATAGATGATAGATCCCATACATCGTTAGATTTTGGTGACTTGGTATAATATCATTTTCTTTCTTTTGGGTTTCGCTGTTATGTGTTATTGGGTTGTTTTTATGAACTTAACATAGGTCCAAAAAAATTTAGTCCAAAATGAGAAATGATTTTGGCTAAGCTGTGTTGTGTTTTTTTTTTTTTTTGGGTGGAGTCTTTGTTTCTTACTTTAGTTTAATTTGTGTTTCATAAATTGATGAGAGTATGAAAACACAAATGCGTTTAGGAAGAAGTATATGACTCTCATGATTGTAATGTTACAATATGTGTTCTCTTATATAGAGCCTTATTTTTTTGGTGGGCTCTTATATAGAGCCTTATTATCGAAATATATAATCAACCCAAGTTTCTTATTTTAAAATAAATATAAATGTAATAAATACATTAGAAATAAATGTAAATATTTATAAAGTAAGATATTGGTAAATATCATGATCTTTCTATATCCTCCTCGATCTTCATGATTTTTCATATTCTTAGGCAACCATCTTGACCATCTAATAATACTTTTATCGAGTCAATGAATCTTTCATAACTTGTTAGAATATGTTGAATATTGTGTGCCATTTCAGGTATTGATAATAAAAATGACAGTAGAAATGTGCTTAAACTAGAGAATGACCGAAGATCTATAGGCAGCTTCAAAAGATTATATCTTCTCTTTGCCCGTAGATCCAATAAATAAGAGTTTAGTGATTTGGGAATATCATTATCTTCCTTTCTAGGTTTGAATGAAGTTAACAAAAATTGAAAATCCAATAAAATTAGTACAAAATGATTGAAGGATTTAGGCTTCCACTTAAGACTTCTACAAATGTCTTACACACTTAATCACATCACTCCATAACATAGTTTGGAGCAACAGCTAAGATCCTCTCGTCTCTTTGTGAAGATTTTTTCCTTGTTTCTTCTGCTTCTGTGGCTTCTTCTTGCTCATTAGCTAACACTATAAGATGACCTTCTTTGCATACCAAACTCTGTGCAATGCATAGCTTGTGTTAAGATAGAAACATCAGTTGAAATAATAATAACTTATATGATTGTTTTGGATTATTACCTCAATGATGGCTCTGAGTTTCTTGATATCGAGTTTTACTTGCTCTTGGGAACTGTACTTCTTTTTCTCGTTCTGTTGATCGATGTACCATCGAATCAGTTCCTTTTGTCTAATTCCAGGCAATTCAGAACCTAAAGAAAATAGTGTTGTGAGTTTCAATAATTGAAGAGAGAAATGAACAGTATTGAAAATTGAAGAGTGTTGCTGCTTACTGTCTTTGTTTACAGTTTCTTCGTGTTGTCTAAGGCGAATGACTAAGGCCTGTGTGATTCTATCATATTCTTCCTCGCTAATCACCAGCTTTTGAGCTGCTGCTCCATTATCTGTTGCTACGTCATATGATGTTACTTACTGTTCTTAAGTGAGTCTGAGAAAAAAGAATAACACAAACTGTGCGTAAGTACCTGCAGTTGCAGAAGCTGGCTCAGCTGCACCATTCTGTTGATCTTCATCTCCGTTATCGGAGTTTTCAATGTCATCTGTGTCGTCCATGTTGTCACCATTAGCATCTTGGTACTCAGAAAGATCGATATCGCCTGCCTCAACACTGGATAAGAGAAACAAGTATGGTTGTTTTTGGTTAACATTTGGGAGAATCTTAAGAGAGAAATTTTTTTTAAAGATGTATACGAGGTTACCTGATGACTGAAGTCTTCAAAAGTCTGACAGCTAAAAGAACATGACTTGGTTTAACCTGAAAGTAAAGTAACAAGTTCCCAGATAAATCAAATTAACTACTGGATACAACTGGTAGATTAAAAGAAAGGCACGAGAAAATGTTTTAAGATAATCTCACCAGAATTTCCAAATGACTCCTAGCAATGGCTTCTGAAAGTCGGATCAGTGCCTCTAGCTGCCTAACTGTCATTCGATATGCGACTCTTGTACCTGGAGTTGTATCGCCTCTACGAAGAGCAACATAAGACTCGACAAGTAGCTTTCTTGCTTCTGGGCTTAGCTGCAACACAACAGATGAGGATAGCAAAAAGATGTTAGCATCTCCAGCAGAAGAGTCTTTTGTAATCAAAAACATTTTTTGGGCTAGTCTACAACCTTTGGCTTTAGCGTTTTGGCATATGCAATGTAGCGTTTAAGTTGTACAGTGGTGAATTCAGGAGACAGCGCTGCTTCATGCTTCTGGTGAACTCGAACGATATGATGGGCAATGTGGTAATCTGTTACCTCATCAGGGTCATCAATCATAACGTACACAAGATCAAACCTCGAAAGAATGGCAGGTGGAAGATTAACGTTATACTGAAAAGAGCATGATCAAACCACAATTAGCTATAAAAAAAACTTCCATGAAAGTTCTCAAGCAAAGAAAGGAATACAAATATATATATATATATATATATATATATATATATATATATATATCTGTTTGGATTCATTTTTGGGGATGACCTTACCTTAAGTGGTTTAGATTTATCATATCGCCCACCAACAGGATTAGCTGCTGCAAGGATTGATGTCCTAGCATTCAAGGTTGCTTGTATACCAGCTTTTGTAATGCTTATCGTCTGCTGCTCCATCGCTTCATGAATAGCAACCTTTGTGCCCAAATGTAACAGCAAATTCCATTAGCCACAGCGTAGGAAACTCAATCATCTACACTGTAATAAGAAATGATGCTAACTTACCTGATCTTTGATATCCATCTTGTCAAACTCATCAATACAACATATTCCATTGTCAGCAAGCATTAGAGCACCAGCCTGTCAAATATCATTAATTAGAACAAGAGCATAGAAATCACATGTATGACAAAGGGCTAGCATTCTTCAAAGCAATTATAAAGTTAGGTTTACTTGAAAAATTCGTTGCAGGGATTTGTTCATTACCTCAATGCAGAATTCACCAGTTTCCGGTTCTTTAGCAACAGTTGCAGTCAACCCAGCTGCGGAAGAGGACTTCCCAGATGTATACACAGATCTTGGTACAATGCCCGCGGTATACCTGCAGATAACAAACCAAAACTGAGGGATCAGATTTCAGAAGATTTCAGAAAGAAAGAAGAAAAGACAGCTTTGATTTTCAATGAGAATCAGTACTTGAGGAACTGGGATTTAGCACAGCTGGGATCCCCAACTATACAAACATTGATGTCTCCTCTAAGGTTGATGCCTTCGTGAGTTGTCTTGTGCACACCGCCTAGAAGCATAAGTAGAACTGCACGTTTGATGTCTTGATGACCAAAAACGGTTGGGGCCATGCTTCCAACTAACTTATTGAAGTAATCAGGAGTATTTCTCATCTGCTGAATTTCATCTAACTCTTCTGCCTGCCAAGTTTAAATAATCATGTAAGAGAAAAACCAGGATGCTGCGGAATAACAACTCTCAAGACTTATAGGTAGTTTATTCAAATCCTCACCGTGAACTGCTGCTGATCATCTTCGTTAGAATCATTTTGGCGGTTCCTCATGTCAGTGTTCCTACTACCATCAGCAATCTAAAAAGAAAAAACACATTGAGATTGGTCAACTGGTCTCACTTATGTTATGGTTTGACAGATACTAAGAAGTTGACAAACCTGCACTGAGTTTGCGATAAAGGCAAGCCGATACGAAAGATCTCTAACTCCCAGAGCCTTGAGACCTTGAACACCTTCATGTCCAGCTGTAGAGCTTTTCTGTTGTGATGAGTCTCGACGACATTCTGCTCTCTCTCCAGGTGCTGCCAGTGCTGATATGTCAGGTATAACAACTACAGTCCCCGTAAAAATAACCCTGTGAGAACAATCCCAAAAGGAGTCACAATGAGTACAACTCTTGACTATTATAAAGATGGAAGAAATAACTTAGAGAACTTGTCACAAGAGAAATCTTACGTATCACCCGCTCTGGCCTGTTCCACAATCTCATGACGCAGAATGACATCCAACGACCGTGGCAAGGAACCTGCAGGTATCTCTTTTGAAGTCTCCTGCATTCTAACTCTTTGCCAATCCGTAAACTTGCTCTCTTGCCTAAGCAATGCCCATCTTGCTCTGTTCAAACAAGTCGGGCTCACACAAATCGTAGGCTGCAACGAGGCCATAAATTATTCAACAAACAAAACGAAAACAAGCTAACACTTCCGCCTAGTACATAGTGTAAAAAGTACCAAAATCAAAGAATCAATTACCTGAGTGTATTTAAACTGTTGTTCAACATTCTTTATAACACTACCACAATCTAAACACTTGAAAGTCCCATAAAGAAGCTCAGGTCTCACTTCACTTGTTCGAGTAACCACACCAGTCACCGACACTAACTTCCCAATTTCTGCAGTAGTTAACTCCCTCAACCTACAAAATTATCATCATCACAATCACCAAACACTAAAATTCAAAATCCTCAATCAAAAATCAAAATCTGAGGATAAAGGCAATACCTTTTAGTGAAAGGAAGATTGTAGAAAGAAACATTGATATCTTTATTCGGAGTATCATCAGAAATGAAAGAAGGATTCATCTCAATCACAAATCTCTTACACGCATTCCTCAAATATGGCT